ATGACATTATCTTTGCCAACATCCATATTCTATTTCCCACAGAAAGTCTTTCCCATTATTTCTAAGGACTCCAAGGTCTTCCAACCCTTGAGATTTTTGTGTTCACTCCAACCATGCTGACAACCTTATTCTCTTAGGACCTCTTTCTTTGATTATCTTTCTTGTTTAGAACTGGACAGCGCTGTCTACATGGCACATTTCTGTGCAGCTTCACTATCTATTTATTTGTGTTCTCTGCACCCTGAACAATCCTGACACATCTCTTCCAGACCTGGATCTGACCTCCCACATTTCTTTCCCCATATCTCTTTACCTACTTCACACCACCTAGGATAGGACATTCTTTCTCAGTTCTGTCACATCTAATACACTGGCAACACTAGCACCTCAGAGGCTACAAGCGACTCCTCACTGTTGGTGCCTGGCTATTGTTCAGGCCAATTAGATGTGTGTTTCAATGTCACTTCCTGCAGAGCAGCTGAGAAGACCGAGATGGTAACTCAGACCAGAAATTATTTTAAAGTACCTGATGTTTGTAAAGACAAAGGAAACAAATGGTTTGGGCGGAACAAGGGAAAATAAAGAGGACAACCTAAAGTCCTACAAGGTGTGGTATCTGGGAGTGCAAGCAGTCACCTTTTGATAAGGTAACCTGGGGAAATGTGCCCCCAGGAGACAGCCAGCTAGAGAAGGCAGTGAGAGGAATATGTAGAAATAGTTTGTGTCTGAAATAGACCAGAAATTTCTCAGGATATAGCAGAAGAATCCTGGAGTCCCAGAGAAAAGTGAGAGTCTGCAGTAACAGCATTTGTTTAACAAAGTGACATTAAGCTGTTGTTGTAGAAAAACAAACCTGGTATCCCTGAACTCTGCCCCCTCATTCCCTCTTTTCATAGCTTTTTTTATTTTCCCTCTTCAGAGACTGAAATTGCACTGTCTGTGAATGGCTCTGTTTATGGCCTTTCCTTTATACTAATGGAAGCTCTAGGGTGGCCACTTGGTGTATCTCACTTGATGCTAGTGTTGAGGGTTTCTTGGGTATTTGTGGTGCCAATGGATGAACTTAACTATTTCACAGATTTCCTGTTACAGAGAGGCAGATTAAAAAGGTAGATTCACTTTATCTTAATTATTCTGCTTATTTTCACTTTTGATAGACTCATGAATTGATTAAGTAATCACCAAATAATCCAAATATGTAAAGCAATATCACAAAATACATTCAGTTAACTGAAGTGTTTGTTATGACAACTAAATCTTATTGAGCAATTTTAAATATTATCTAAGATTTTAAGCATTTTGTATTTATTAACTTCTTGCAGTTATTATTTTAATTACTCATCAAATAACTGTAAGGGGCCCGTAGAGATTAAGCAACTTTCCCAAAGTCATTTGGTTTAATAAGGTTTGAAGTTCTTCAAAGTTCTGGTCTCAGAACTCACAATCTGAAAAAACAACATTTTGCCCATCATCAACATTTATCTATTTCACCCAACAGAGAGACTCCATTTGGCAACATCTTGTTCTTTAGGAAGTGGAAAGGATGGCTACTTCACCTATGTGGGGACTTGTGGGGTTGTCCCATCCTACTTTCAAAACTGACCCTTTCCTAAGTGCAAGCATTTTTAAAATCAAACAACTTAATGCAAATTTGTGTGAAGGTAGACCATGAATAGCCCTTATGAATGTTGGCTTCATTTCTTAATTTTGAGAATTGAACCTGCTCAAAGGTTATGATAAAATAAGAAAATGCAGGTGAAATGTTAAGCAAAATGCAATCACAAGGTAAATAGTGAGTGAAAGATATGTTTTATTGTTGTTCTTTCAGTTACTTTCTGAGGTTAGATTGTTTTTACTACATCTAAGTAATAGTTTAACTAATGTGCCTTAAAGATACTACAGAAGTAGTATTTAATGAAGTAGATTTGATGAAGTCACACTTTGATCAAAGTATAATAGTGTTTAGGAAAACAAAGATTAATATGCAATAAAATAATCGCATACTAGGAGAGAATCTGAAGTATGGCATTCAGGTTTAAAATAAATTTCTCAACTAGACTTCCTTCTAAATCTCTGGGTATCACTTTAAAGCACTCCAGGAACCTGCAATATTGTATCTGTTCCAAGTTCCCTGATTCTGTCTTCTCTAGATCCTTATTCTGTTTATTTCATTTGAGATAAGGAAAACAGTTCTGATGAGAGAGAGAGAGAGAGAAGAAGGGCTCAAATTAAGTAAAAAAATTTTTTAAAGATTTATTTATTTATACAAGAACCGGGGTACAGGCCTGATGCGTGGGAGGGTGAGAGGATTCACCAGAGACATAGCGGGGAACAGGACAGGCAGACTGAAGAAATACACTGCTGAGGGGAGCAGCTGGTGAGACAGGAGAGGTCTGCTTTGCCATGTGGGATTCTCACGGGCCGGTTCTCACGGGCCAGCCAGCCAGGATCGAGCCTGTGCTGCAGAGGCTGCAGACAGCTTAACAATGTGGCACTCTACCACCTGCGCCACCAGGGAGGCCCCCAAATTAAGGAAAAATTTTAAAAAATAAAAATTGATTTCTGAAAAGGTTATTTAAAACTATTGTCTTACACTTCATCCTTCAGAAGTAATAAATACAAGGCCTCCCCAGTGGCGCAGCGGGTTGAGCACAGTGCTTTGAAGCTGTCTGCAGCCTCTGCAGTGCCAGTTCCATTCCTGTGCCAGCCAGGGAGAATACCACAAGGCGTGGCAGACCTCCCCTGTCTCGCCCACTGCTCCCCTCAGCAGTTCTTTAGGTCGGTCTGCCTCTTCTGCTCCCTGCTCTGTCTCTGGTAAGTCCTCTCACCCTCCTGTGACTCTGGCCTGTACCTCAGCTCTTATATAAGTAAAAATAAATCTTTAAAAAAATAAAATAAAAAAATAATAAATACATGTTTGTAAATAGATATGTTAATAAATATGTATTTATAATTTTTTCTTTTATAAGATCAACAGTCTCTTTAATTTGCCAAATCTTGGCTGAAAATTATTGGAGGTACATACTCATTTACCAGTAAAAGATAAGGAATATATCTGACACCCAAACCTCATATATTTTCTAGTCTATTTGTAAACTTCCTATTGGATCAAAGGCTACTGTCCAAAGAGCACAAAAACACTAATTTGAAAGGAAACCTATGTTTATGGCAGCAGTGTTTACAATACCCAACCTACAAGTCCAAGAACAGATGAGTGGATCAAAAACATGTAGTACATATACACTATGGAATATTATTCAGTGATCAAAAAGATTTAAAAAATGCCATTTTGGCAACATGGCTGGAACTGGAAAGGATTATTCTAAGTGAAGTGACACATATGGAGAAAGATAAATACCAGATGGTTTCACCTATATGTGGAATCTAGAGAAATCAAGCAAAGAATAACACTAACTCTAAAACTGGACCTTGAAAGCAGATCGGAGACATTCAGGAAAGGAGAAGGTGGGGGCAGCCGGGAGGGGAAGAGTAGATAAGTGATGGGAAGAAGTGTGGTGGAGGACTGTGGCATTTTGTTATGGGAAAACTAAGGTAAAAACACCTGAGGGGAGGAATCCTATAATGGAAAAAAACAAGTGTTGAAAAATAAAAATACATATTAAAAACATAAATATGCTTCAGATTTTCAATGACAGGATTCCACCAATGGAACTGAAATATTTGACTATGATGAATAATTAAAATACACCAACTTACTATTTCTAATCTAATGGAGGGTGGGAGATATGTTTTATATAAATACCTATTGAAATTTAAAGAGTTAAAATTCAAGAATTAAATAAAAATTTGTCAGAAAATACATGACAATAATAAATAACCCAATAAAATTTACATCAAAAATTCCAAATAGTTTTATGAATGACACATATTGATTATTAGTAGCCACCAAATAGTTCTACTTTAAGAACATCTACATTTTTTTAATATCTAAGTGGATCATTGACAAATAAATTTATACAAATAAGCAATAAATGTAAGCAAAAGTCTTCACCATCTTTACATATAAGGTAATTCCAATTAAAAATCCAAATAAGTTACTACACCAAATGGAAATGATAAAATGAAAAAGGTTGATAATACACATAACTGTTGCCAATCAGAAGCAAATGCAACTCATGTAGCTTTACTGATGGGAGTGAAAAATCAAAGACCCATCTTGAAAAACAGTTTAAACATCTACCAAGAAAAAAATGGTATCAAAAGGAGGTTAATAACAACTTTAGTCATAACATTTCCAGACTGAAATTAGCCTAGATGTTCATGTGAAAAAAAAAATTGATTAACAAATGGTGATATATTAAAACCAAAGACTACTACTTAGTAATAAAAAGGGAGAAAACTGCTGATAAATGTAAAGTTGTAGAGAAAACTTTAACATATTAATCCGAGAGAAAGATAAGCAATATAAAAATATTACCAACTGTATGTTTTCTTTGATGTGAAATTCTGAAATAGACCTAACAAAAGAATAGAAATACATCAAGCAAGTGATTTTATGAGTTGACAGGCTTCAACTGAGAAGGCAAGAAAGAGGTTATGGTCTGGAAAAGTTGTGTCTTGCTAGGTGCAAATTACAAGTGCATACATAATTGAGACTGGTCAAAGGGTATCGTTTAAAGTTAAGCATTCTAGGGATTGCAATTTAAACCTCAAATTTTTAAGCATTTCAAAAGTATATTACTATTTACTTCCTTTTTAAACACATTTATTGTGAAGTGTGTGGGGAAACATTTAAATAAGGATTTGTGATTGATAGATTTTTAACAATCCACAATTTCATTTCTTTTTTTTTGTTTTGTTTTTGTTTTTTTGTCACAATTTCATTTCTTGATAACAGCTTAATAAATGGTCCCCATGGAGTTCCAGCTGTATTTGAAAAAATAGAAAAAAAGTATAATGCACTGATAACTAACTTCTCTCTAGGAAATCTTACATAATTAAGTGGTACAGCATTGAATTTGGGCCTCATCAATGGAATCCTACTGATTAGTTAAGGCAGTACACTGACCCAGACACATTCTCAGGGCTCCCTTGACCTCATTGTTCCTCAGGCTGTAAATGAGGGGGTTGAGCACAGGGGTGAAGATGGTATAGAACAGAGACACAACCTTGTCATGGCTCGCTGAGCGGTAGGATTTGGGTCTCATGTAGATAAAAATGGCAGCTCCATAAAAGATTCCTACCACAGCCAAATGGGAGGAGCAGGTGGCAAAAGCCTTTTTACGGGCTTCCTTAGTACGCATGTGGAGGACGGCAGAGAGGATGAGACTATAGGAGATCAGGATGAGGGAAAATGGGATCAGGAGCATTAACACACAGCAGATGTACATGACATACTCAAAGACAGAAGTGTCAGCACAAGCCAAATGCACCAGAGTGGGGGCCTCACAGAAGAAATGATCAATCTCACGTGCATCGCAAAATGGGAAAGTCAGGGTAGCAGCAGCCTGCATGAGCCCATCAGCTACCCCCAGGAACCAAGACCCCAGTGTCATTCCCAGGCATAATCGCCAGTTCATGAGGATGGGGTATTTCAGTGGGTGGCAAACAGCCACATAGCGGTCATAAGCCATGGCTGCTAAGAGGAAGCACTCACCCCCTGCCAGAGTGAGGAAGGAGAATATCTGGAACCCACAGCCAGTGGGGGAGATGAATTTTTTGCCAGTTACATAGTCAACAGCCATTTTGGGCACAATGGTGGAAACCAGCATCAGGTCCATGAGGGAGAGTTGGCTCAGCAGGAAGTACATGGGCGTGTGGAGCCGAGAGTCCCTGTGAATCAGAAGAATCATGAGGGTGTTGCCCAGCAGAGAGATGGAGGCAGTTGTCAGAACCATCACAAAGAGAAATATATGGGCTCTTGTGTGGTTAAAGAGTCCTAGAAGAATGAAATCCGATGTGACATTCACGTTTTCCATGATTTCAAACAGTAGTAACACTGCAAACAGAGAAATAAACAGTAGTTTCATCATTTGAAATGCTCTACAGAAGTGCAGGTTTCTTGATAAGTACATATGTGGAAATGCTTAAAGCTATTTCAGACACTTTGCCACCTGTAAAAAGTTTTAACATGGTCATAAAATTAATTTCAACTTCTTTGAACATTTTTCTCACTTTAAGATTTTTCAAAATAATTTTCATTATTATTATCAGTTGGCATAATAAAAAGTGTTCTTGATAATTGCAAGAATTCTGTGCCACCAGACACTAACATATGTGGTGTCATGATTCCACCAATATTATTGGAAATTATTCAAATGATTTGTCATTTCTATTTGTACACCAATTTAAATCAATAGTCTTAACTATAGAAAAGTTCAGACCTTGATAACAAGGTTTATGTATATGTAACATTGAAATTTATCAAAACTTACCAAAATCAAATAATTTTTCCTGACATCGATTAATCTGGGATGGCATTTTTACTTCCCAAACAAGAGGATTTATAATCTCAAGACAAGCAGCTGAAAGGATTGAACCTGCAAATACAAACAACTTTATTTGGAATTGTTACTACATTAGTTCAACTTTATCAATGTACACTGAAAACAATAAACCCTTATTCGAAGATTTCTCACAATGTGACACTACGACACTGAAAGCAAACTTTCAGTAACTATAAAAAGACAAGTGTATAGGGCCTCCCCTAGTGGCACAGAGGTTGAGCGCTGGGCTGCAAAGCTGCCCGCAGCCTCTGCAGCACCGGTTGGATCCCAGGCCACCAGCGAGGATCCAAATGGGGTGACAGACCTCTCCTGCCATGCCCACGGCTCCCCTCAGCAGTTTTATTTCGTCAGTCTGCCTGTTCTGTTCCCCGCTCTGGCTCTGGTGAGTTCTCACCCTCCCACACTTCTGACTGTACCCAGTGCTTGTATAAATAAATAAACAAATCTTAAAAAAAAAAAAAAGACAAGTGTATAATGAAAGTCTCCCCTCAAAGTCACAAAATCACAACCTTCTGTTGAACTTGCACTTCTTCTCTCAACCACAAAGATAAATTATATTCTTTTGAAACTGAAGTAGATACTAAGTCTTAAATCATCTTCATCTCCAGTCTGCTGCAGCCAAACCTGTTCTAGCTTATTGAGTAAATAGGACCAGAGCTGCAGAGATGGGGATGCTAATTCAGTCTCAAGGACATGGTGTAATTCAATGAAGTCATGTAACAGAAGGAGCTCACTTCTTCCATGGTCATCCGTTTGATCCCATTTACGTATTTATCCCATACTTGAATGCCAGTCAGGAAGGAAAAAGGCAATGCAAAATACTCAAGTTCTCAAACCATATTTGAGCAACATCAGTGTACTGCAACATTCTACTTGATGGTTTTAGACTTCATGGAAGTACACTTCCTCCTTGTCAAATGTATTTTGCATTTGCCAAAACTGTGATTTTCATACCCTTATATCTCTAGCGTGCAGTTTCTACCCCTAGTAACAATGAAATCCCTGATTATGACCCTCACTATCACTTTCCTGAAGCATTTCAGTCCTTCGAACTCATTTCTTTTGATTTAAGGGCATCTTATTTTCCATTATCCCCAATCTTCCTTATTTTTGAAGACTGAAATTTAAACTGATATAGAAACAATAGATTACTTAGTAACTGTACAGTGTTAGGAAAGTTTCACTGCAGGCATACCTATTTTTGAGTGTACTACTAGTACAATGATAATAAGTATACTCAATTTGTTGTGCAACCATCACCAATGTCCATTCCCAGGACCCTTCTCCAACTGAATCTCTGTGCCATTGAACAATAAATTCCCATTCCCCCCTCTGCCAGTCCAGCTACCATAATCCCACTTTCTGTTTTTAAAAATTGACTGGTCTAGGAGTCTTAGATAAGTAAACCATAGAGTATTTGTTTTTTTTCTGACTAGCTGCTATGTGACTTCACCTGTCCTGAAAATTCATCCATTTTTTTTCTATCTTTAGGACCAAATAATATGTTTTTGTTTGCATTTACTGCATTTTACTTACTAATTCACTCAATCTATGGATATTTGTGTTTCTTCTGCTCCATTTGTATATGTTAACTATTAATTTAATGAGGTTATTGATAAGATATTAATTATTTCTTTAATTTGATAAGGTGAAAATATATAATTAAATATGGTAATCCAAATTAAAATTTTATTCACAGCATGCAAGGGAATTTTATGTGCCTTAGGGAATAATCACAAAAATATTTGTAGAAAACATATTTTGTTATTACAAAGTCTCTACTGTGGTTAAGTATTTTTTCAATTATGAAATCATAAGCTCTAAAATATTTCAGTAGACATAGGTGAAATATCTATGCATATCCTTTTTAGGCAAAATAAATGTATAATAACAATCTGTCCTCATAAATCTAATTGATTAGTCACTATGTTAATAATGTTTAGATCAATTAGTGGAATTATCAACTACGGTGTGAATTAAATAAATGAATTGCATGTAATTATATTTCCATAAGATTTGATAGAATAAAATTATTTGTAATTAAAATTCGATCTATCTTTTCATATTGCATGAGTCAGAGGATTTTAAAGGATGATGTCTGGTAAAATAGACTATGGGTACCATGTATGGAGGGAATATAAAATGAAGAATTAACAAACCTTGCAAATAAAATATCTACAATGGCATTATCTGGAAGAATGAAAGATTACTACTGACTAATAGAGGAATGGGATATTTTAATATTCTAAGAAATAAAGACTTTCTTTCTTTACTTTAGAATAATAGAGATCTATATTTTCTTATGTTTCCACAGCATTTCATTGAGAATGGTGCTAAAATTAGGATGTCTTTATACTCATCTCCTTTACAGTGCTTCTGGAAGTTACAAATAGACCCTCTCTTTTTTCTCAAAGAATAATTATAGACTATTTGGAAAATCAATTTCAATTTTCTTCTAAATTTATAGCTTCCCTCACTTAATGTTAAAACTATAAATCTTTTTACTTGAATATGGGGGTGATTAATCAGCCTGTTGTGTAAAAAAAATAAAACAGTAACAATCAAATCATTTATCTAGCTGAATTGTTATCACAAGAGTTTTAAACTGATGATTATTTATGCTAGCACATGTTTTACATTTTCAGAACACAGGATAGACAGTAAAATGGATCTTATTGGTAATATTATATAGAAGAAATAGTTTAAATGTGGGTTTTCTGGATTTCAAAAATCATAAATAATTGGTGAATACTGAGATGGGTATGAGTACTCACATGAGATAATAGCGATGAAGCCCAACAGGCTGCATACGCTCCCCTTGGAAGTGCATCTTCCTAATGCTCTGCTTCCAGTGGAAGAAGAGCCTTCTAGTCTGGCAGCATCAAACCTGTTCATATCAGTGCCAAGAGTGACCGACTAAGGGGCGTGGCCTGTTGTCATCTTTTGTTTAAAATGCCACCCTATTTATACGTCAGAAGTGCAGTAAGCCCAACTCTTTGAATGACATAAAGGTTTAATATTCAAGGATTTTTTTAATTAATTTTATATCTTTATTGAAACAATACATATACCAGTATATAATTTTCAGGTGTTTATCATTAAGAATCAACAAGTATATATTACATTAAAGTCATGGGGAAGAGGCCAAAACTGTCCCTTGCTCCTAAAACAAACAAACAAAAAAAAAAAAAAACCAAAGAAATAAAAGTGAAAAACTTCACAAATCTGGGGAAGAGACCGAATGTACACGTCCATGAATAAGAGCAATTAGTGATTACCAGAGGAGAGAGGAAAGAGATATCAGCAAATATTCAATGATTTTAAAGAGTCATAGAACTTCAATGTACTTCCCTACATGCTTTCAAAAACTTATTTATTACGATAAGAGCAAATCATTTATAAGACAAAGTAAAATATAAGTAAAAGTGTTCAGAGAAGTAAAAAGAAAAATATCAGATGGTTTCACTTATAGGGAAACTGAACAAAAGGTTCAGAAAAAAAAAGACAAAACACACAGGCAAATTATAGATCCCAGACATACGGTATGGGATGGGGAGGCACAGGTGTCAAAATAGGGAAGAAAGAGCACAGGGGACTGCAGTGATGGTTTGCGGGGTCATGTGGTGGTGGGAGATTTATGAGTATTACACCTAAGGGAAGAAATCAAATATTTACAAAAATGAACAATGATGTAAGAAAATTTTAAAAAAGGATGATGAATAATACCTATCCTGCTCAGACTCTTGCAAAAAAATAAAAAAAGGAATTCTTCCAAACACAATCTATGAGGTCAACATTAACTAGCACCAAAACCAAAGAGAGACAACACAGAGAAAGAAGACTACAGGTCAATCACTCTATTGAACACAGACACAAAAATCCTCAACAAATCTTTGCAAACTGAATCCAACAATGCATTAAGAAAATTATACATCTATTTTTGGGCATATGGGTTGTTTCCAAAGCTTAGCTATTATAAATAGTGCTGCTATAAACATAGGGGTGCAGGTGCTCTTTGGAATTAATGTTTCTGTGTCCTTTGGGTAAATATCTAGGAGTGGAATTGCTGGATCATATGGAAGCTCTATGTTTAGTAGGTCAAGAAATCTCCACACAGCTCTCCATAGTGGTTGGACCACATGTACACCATGGAATATTACTCAGCATTCAAAAAAGATAAACACATGCAATTTGCAGCAACATGGATGGAGCTAGAAGGGATCATGCTCAGCAAAATAAGCCAGAAAGAAAAAGAAAAATACCAGATGGTCTCACTCATAGCAGGAATCTAAAAAACTTAAATAAGGGACCAGGAAAAAGAAAGAAAATATCAAAATCGACAAACAACTATGAACCAGAGACACTCTACGGCAGGTGGGGGGCGGGGAAAGGAGGGCTTGGGGTCAAAATAAGGGGGTTGTAATTGTATGGGGAATATAAAAAATTAAAAAAAAGAAAAAAGAAAATTATACAGGCCTCCCCAATGGCACAGAAGGTTGAATGCAGCACTGTGAAGCTGTCCGCAG